TCTTGGTATTTTTTAAAAAATATTTTTTAAAGACTGTCAATGTAGCTCAGCTTGAGGAACCGGGGTCCAATCCTCAGGATGGCAGGAAAGACAAAAAGATGGGGTTGGAACTGAAACTGGACACGCTTCTGTGAGTGCAGTGACATGGAATGTGGAATGTGGAGCGGGCCTAGCGTCAGAGGAATAAGCCCACCGGCGGTGGGACAGCGCCTGCGAAGGGTCCTCAAGCGCTTGCTGGGGCTGAATGTGTGCCTGAGAGCGACGTATGCCCTGGAGACCCAGAGTGACCACGGTCAGCTCAACACTGAGCTTAAGACGCGAGAGCCTCCTTGCTACCCAGGAGAGAGACTCCCTCCCAGCCGCAGGGCAGTAAGTGTGCTCACCCTGGATGGGCCGCCATACAGCTAGGAGCTGCGTGGACACTGGGCCACGCGCACAGGCTCAGCTCAGCACCCTGTAGAATATCCAGCCTGGACTTCTGTTAGGTGCGAACTCTGTGTGTTCAGTAGGGTGCCGCAGACTCCTCTCCTGCACAGAGGGGAGGGTCCCCTCCAGATGTGCTCTCAGCCCCCTCTAAATTACACCCACACCTTGATTCCAACATCCCGGCCTGGAGGTACTGAGCATGCGCTGGAAGACAATGTTAAGGGGCCAGAAAGAACAGCCAGGATGGCCTTGGAAGAATGATGGGCCAAGGAATCAGGAAACAAAGCTGGGTGTGGGCTGTAGGGTGGCCTCCCTCACGCCCAGGCACAACCCTATAAGCCAGGACCCCCTGCAGCTGGGGTGGTGCTGAGCCCTGGGGACAACAGTGGCCCTTGTGAAATGTAGCACAAGGCCAGCACCATGTGGTCCTCAGTGAAGAAGATCAAAGGACTCTGGGAAGAGGCCTGCTAGAGCGGCTCCATGTTGTGCAAGGACACCTGCTGGGTAGCCTTGGTCTGAGGGGGATCCAGGAGGATCCTCCACTTGCCAAAGCAGTTAAGAGCCATCTGGGCTGAGAAACTCAGTGTTGCTGTCCTGTACAGGCTGAGGGCCTGCAGAAGATGTCATGGCAGAGCCGGGCTCTCCGCTGCTAGGAGAATGAGACAATTCCCAAGCACTGAGAGCTTGAATATGAGTTGGCGCATTTTAATGCATGACCTGGTCAGACTGCCTCAGCAGGGAATGTACAGAGACCGCTAGGACACAGAATTCCTAGTGGAAAGGCAGGAGGACAGCCAGTGGGAATGTTATACCCTGCACGCAACCAACAGCAACGAAGTATACGAGAAGGACGCGGAGGGTAACTGTCCCTGCTGCATATCCCCCCCACCCCCCCACAAGTTATCTACCCAGCTCTCCTGGAGGAAGGAGAAGCCTATCTCACTCCTACACGCCCTCCTTTCCCCCAAAGCAACCTGTATTCACTGATCCAGTAACCACGCACTGGGGCTGGAGAACACACAGCATTTTGAGGATGGCTAGGTTTGAGTTGACATTAGCTCCCATGGACCCAAATCGGCCTCAAGATCTGTCTATGACCATTAGAGTGAGAGCACGTAGAGGCTGAGCAATAAACGAGTCCCAGAGGGCCCACGGCATCCCCGGGTCTACCCAGCAGTCATTTCTTCAGCCTCTAAAGTGTAACGGGGCGGGGCATCTGCCACATGGGGCGCTCGACCTGTGGGGGAGGGGGACGGCTCTCACCGTGTGGACCCTGTCCAGGGACGCAAGGGCTTAGTTCCTCAGGGTGATGGAACTGAAAGGAAAGGAGCTGGGGACCCAGACACCCTTGTGAAACAGACCCCTATGTCACCTCAGACTTGCACACAAAGTAGCATTATTTGGGACCTGATTCACACCTAGTCCCACGTCCACCCAAACCAGTCAGCCTGGGGCTTACTTCAAAGCAAGTTCTAGGGAGCAGCCCTGGGCTCAGGGGAGGTGGACAGGTGGCCCTGCTGGTCAGACTCCCTGTGCGCACACTCACACAGAAGCAAGCACCCTGCAGGGCTGCTGGGAAGCACAGGAGGCTTTGGGAGTGAGCTCTGGCCAGACGCCTAAAGAGTTTACGGGTGGCAGGATCCCCTCCTTGCCTCCACCACAGCTGCTTAAAAATGCCCTGGATGCTGGCTTGTTCCCTTCATACCCTGCGGCCTTCCCAGGAAGCAGCGTCTGCACTGTAACAAGAGCCTCTGCACTGTGGGCATGGGGCTGGCACCAGTGGTGATGGAGCCCCGACAGCCGAGAGCTGGCAGGCAAGAGGAGGTGAATGCCACCATTTCTGCGGCACCAGCTTGTCCGCTGTTCTTGCCTTGGGTGCTGTATGAGTCCATGTTGTGCTGCTCTAACCAAACTCCTGACATGGAGGAATGTGCAAAGGCAAGACTTCGCTGGGCTCTGGCTTCTCGTGGCTAGAGGACCAGACTGCGTGGTGCCAGGGTCCTGGCAAGGGCAGCCGTGGCTTCATCCTGACCCAGCAGAGCAACAGACAGGGACTTGGCTACACACAGAAGGGCGCCAGGGAGGTGTCAGGCTCCCGTGTGACAGTCTTCTTGTGAGAACTCTTCCTGCCATTAGGACAAGCACGTGCCTTCTCGGGTGGTGCCCCCCGTCCTACCCACCTCCCACAGGCCCGCTTCTGGTGCATGAACACTAAGGGAGGGGCAATCACATCCAAAATACAGCAGGTCGGCATGGTTCAAGAAGCAGGAAAAGGAGGCGCACGGACTGACCCGTCAGCCTCCACCCACACACGATGAAGCCTGCACCCAGGCCCAGGTAATCTGAAGAATCCCCAGCCCCCAGGTGCTCATCTTGCTGGGGTGCTGACCCCCAGGGAGGAGGACGGAGCTACACAGCGAACCCACCCTCAAGAGAGAGGGGTGGAAGGTCCGCCGCCGCCCTGGTCTCCACCTCACAATGAGGCCAGCCGCTCCTGCTCCTGGGGGCTGGATCAGAGAGGACAGCAGTGATCAGAGGCAGGTGCAAGAGAGAAAATGAAATGGCGCTGCACAGCCCCGGATGCCAGGGCTGGATAGAGTGCGTCATAGCGGATGGACAGTTGCTGGGTCAGGGAGGGGCTTGGATCTCCAGAAACCATTGTACCGTTTGTCAGGGCCATTTGTTCCTTATTCACTAGGTGCCAGATATTGCAAATGCTGGAGACGCTGGGTCCAGTCCAGGCATGGGCCAATGTGGAAGGTGGGAGAGGACAGTGAAAGGACTCCAGCCAACTTAACAAGCCTCCCCCAGCCGCAGACGGCAGAGTCTGAGCACAAAGAAAGAATAACTGAGATGCACTGACACTACCAAATGTGTTTACTTCTATGGGCTTTAATGACACTTCTCAAAAAACCCTGCTCGATCACTGTTGGAGGAGGCTGGGGATGAGCTCCGGGGTCATAAAGCAGAAGGATAAAGGAAAGAGCTGAGCACGCATTTGCCTTTTGGGTGACCAAGTGGAAGACGAGGTACAGTTGCTTTTGCAAAAAGCATTCTGTCTAAGCAATGAAGAAGCAGTTATAGAATCCAAAGCTAAGCATTTTGTAAGCCCTAATAAAGTAATGCCTTCCGGCATCGGGCAGGAACGGCTGTTACACAAACCAGAAGAGCCAACCTGACCAGCCCTGCCTGGGTGGGAGAGCCCGGCACCACCTTTGAAGTGGTCATGCCGAGAGAGATCAAATCTAAACAGGACCAAGACTTTCTGCCCAAATGCCAGGGCACCTGGCAGAGGTCCAGCAGCAGGTCCCAGCCGGAAAACTCTATGGACAAACAATGCAGTTTCACTCAGAAATAAATGACAAGAGGGAAACAGAGACAAAGACAGAAATCCACGACACCATCCCCAGACCACAGTCCACGCACCTCACAGTGCACTGACTCGGACTGTTAAGAACAGCTTTGAGCCATTTATGAGACAACGGGAGATACAAACCCTGGCCAGAGTGTCTGGTGATGTTACGGAATCATTATTAATATATTTAGGTGTACCAATAGCACTGTGGTTATATTAAGAACAAACAGCTGGAGTATTTACAGACACAATGATAGGATCCTGGAATTTATGTCCAAATGACATCAGGGGAGATGCAGTCCAAGTGTGGAGAACAGACGTTTGGCCACAACTTGATCGCTGTTGGAACTCGGTAATGGGCGCGTAATGGTTGACATGAATTTTTTTTGCATAATATGATTTTCCATCGTAAAAGCTCAAACACATACATGCAAGCAGACCTGACCTGACGGGTGGGTGGGTCGTGGTGCACGAGCCGGTGGGACGCATCTGCGCTGTACAGCTGTATATGGGGCATCAGCCGGGGACATCGCCGGGGGTGGCCCGACTGTGGCTCAATCAAAGCATCTGATGGCAGCACTGGCACAGAGCCGATCGGAGCACCAGAGGTAGCGGGAGGTGGGAGACCTGCGCCCCGGGCACTCGGATGCTTGCTGCTCCAGCTGCGGCTCACGGCCGACGCCTCCCGCTGGCAGCCACAGGGCACTGGATGTACTGCCAGGCGGGCAGATTGATTCCAGGGGTGGGCGGGACCCAGGCTGCCAGGAAAGGGCCCCATGCCTGAGCCCAGCGCCGCCGCAGGAGACAGGCAGGCAGGACCACCTACAGCACCGGGTGCTCTGGAGGGTGGGACGCTGAGGTGGTGTGGGGTCAGGACGGGCGTGGCACCGGCAGGGCTCATAGCCTGACTCCGCTCGGAGGGAGCTCTCAGCCCCACTTCGGTTTCAGTCCACTTGCTGGACTCCATGCCCCCCAGCCTGTGGCCACAGCTAACCCAAGGGGGAAAACATCCACAAGCTGGGGTTTGTCTAGCATCATCCGCTCCAGAATCTCAAGGAAGAAAGATAAACTCTGAAGGAGAAACTCTGAAGGTAATCATTGCTTGCTTGCTTGCTTTTGTGTATTTTCGTAAGGATCTACAGGGTCTCACTACATACATCAGACTCATAGTGATCTGCCTGTGTTCAGCCTCCCAAGAGCTGGGATTACAGGCGTGTGCCACCATGCCCAGTCTCAATTGCAGTCTCAGCGCACCCTGGGGCCGGGGCTGGCACGGCTCACCAGGGATGGCTGCTGTGTCTGCCTAAGCAGGTGCTTTAATCCACTGAGCTATTTGGCAGGCTTGGTTGCTTGCTTGCTTGGTTTTGTTTTTGTTTTTGTTTTTGTTTTTGTTTTTTTGTACCAGAAATTGAACTCAGGACCTTGTGCTTGCCAGGTAGGCACTTGTGCCATTGGGCTATATCCCTGGTCCCAAAGGTAACTATTTCAAAGTGATTTTAATGATATTTTTTTTAAAAAACACATGTAGATTAAATGCATACACAGTGAGAGTTCAACAGCCTCCAGTGAAGAGTCCACTACTAGTGGTATTGATGCGACTTGGCTGAGGCCATGTTTGGCCACTGAGCACAGAGGGAGCCTGCGCAGGAGGCAGGCACTCCTGCCCCAGGGCTGCCCAGCCCCAGATGGTGCGCTTAGTACTTGAAGGTATTAACCTTCCATCCTCACAACAGCCCCAGAGTCTGGGGATGTCCATGGACGAAACGGGCCTGCCAAGAGCTTAGGTTCGGCACCCACGGTGACAACAAGCATCAGCCATCACCACTGGGCCATCGGTCACCCTGTGGATGGGAAACCTGGGGCTTGAAGGTCTTGGAGCCCTGGAGAGATGGGGACAGAGGGAGTGGCACCACCTGAGCACCAGAGGAGAGCCCAGTCCTGGGTTCCCCAGCATCTTCATTCCCCCTCACTTAAGCCAACACGAGTTTTCCATTCTTAGCTCCGGCTCAAGCAGCAGGAATCTCCAGGCTCCACTCACCCACATCGTGAGGCTGCATTCTAACAGCACCGCTGCCAGGAAAAACATCTTGCAGTGGGGATCCCGCCTCCCCACCCCGGCACAGTGCCTGGCTACCCCAGCAGGAGCTCCTCCCGCCCGGCCTGCCCATGGGGCACACCCCTGCAGACCAGAAGGGACCCTCAGCCCTCACAGGGAGAAGGCCCTGAGCCCCAGGGCAGCGGCACACGGCCAGGCCGGCCTGAGAGGCAGCGCAGTTCATTCCCTCTGGAGAACACAGCTCTATAGCCACAAATCACAAAATAAAATAAACAGCGACAGGGCAAAACCACTAACAAGAGAAAAATGGGGATGCCAGAACGTTTAAGGCACAGCAGAAGGAGTCTAAGACGAGACCAGACTAGAAAATAAAGGCCTCCTCTGCCCTGCCTGACTTTCCACCTATCGCCTCCAGCCCACGAGGTTTTTTTCAAAAAAGCCATTGAAAAGCCAAAGCTATAAACTATTCCATCTGAGACAAAGTTGTGCAGTGGAAGGAGAGACTGTAATAAAGAATGCGGGGTTCGGTGGCTAAGCCCTCTCTAGGGTCCTCTAGACAGAAGTCACCAGCCTCACACCCTCAGCCACCCCAAGGATCAACAGTGGGGAACTGCGTGCGGTTGCCCAGGAAACTGAGAAGACAACGCGGAGGCACACAGAAAAGCCAGGGCCTTTCTCCTTTCTTCCTTCTCCTTCCCCTTGTCCTTTTTCTCCTCCATCAGCATCTTGCTGAGTGCAGGCTGCCCTTGAAAGCGTGATTCTCCTGCCTCTGCTTCCTGAGGGCTGGGATGGTAAGTGTGCACGACCCCTGCCAGTGCAGAAGACCCTTTTTAAACAGGAAGGAGGTGCAGGTCACAAGGGACATCGCTTGCACCAGTGGAGACAACTGCACCCCAGATGGTCCCGTAGCACTGGCAGCTGGCAGCTGGTGGCCCTGAACACGTTGCCTAAGCTCTGAGACCCATGTCAGAGCTGTGCTGAAGGCCCCCACTGGGGATAGTCTCCACACATGCTCAGCACCACTCTTTAGGGAAAGGGTAACGAGGGCATCCTAACTGTGACTGCTGTGACACGTTTATTTAGAGAAGCAGAAGTCGAAGTGGTCACCGAAGCACACACTGCCCTTGTGACTCTGGGCAGTGTGGAAACTTCAAAGAACCACAAGCAAACCCCATCCCCAAATCCCAGAATGTGGGGGTTCTGGGAGGAAGGAGGGGCTTCCTGCCAGGCCTCTGTGGGAGCTGACAGGGTGTGATGGAGCCCCTGTGTGGCATGAAACGGAGACAGCAAAGGGAGGCTAAGGGGTCTGTGAGGTGACAGAGCTGAGGCCACTGAATGTCAGGCGTGGGTGGGACACACACAGCCTCATCCATCCCCTCCACGATGACAGCATGGTGGTGGAAGTGCTACCATTGTCCCCACAGCACGGAGGAGCAAATGTGCTGGAGAGTTACGGACACGGCGACACCCTCGAGATCAGGGCCAGGAACCAAGCGCGTTGCTCTGCCTCTGCTGACACATGCCATGTGGGCCTCAGTTTCCTCCCCTGTAAAATGGAGCTTGCAGCGAAGCCCTTGGTGAGCCCTTGGCTCGTGGTCCTCAATGCTGTGAAGACGCCTCTCGGCCCCCATGACCATTTTCCATCCAGAGAAGGTAGAACGGAGGCCGCCTATGTTTCCCAGGCCCTATCCCAATTTAGAATCTTGTACTAACACAGATGAAACTGTGTGGAGGATGGCAGCAGAGCCAGCACGGGACAAGTGTCCCCGTGGAAGTCACATCAATGCCACACACACAGCTGCAGAGGAAGAAGGGTCACCTGGAATGTTGCACACACTCCAACTGGAGCTGAGCCCAGCAGGGGGGAGGGTGGGGGAACCCCGAGGACTCCTGCGCTTTGCATCAGAAGTCCCTGCTGTCCATCCTCGGAGAGACTGAGCTGACAGCTTCCGGGCAAGATATCACCCCTGTCCCCAGCACATGGGAGGCTTAAGACAGCCGGATATCTGGACTGAAGAAAGCGAAGGCCTCATCTTCCCTGATGATGCCGTCTGCTGATGGCATAGATCCATCACCAAGTCCCTCTTCTCCCCACAAGTGGGGTCCATTTCAGACCCAGGGACGGGAAGTTCAGAGAGGTTGACAGTCGTGCCCGAGGACACACAGTGAGCAAGGAGCAGCCCTGGGAGGCAGCCGAGGGCAGCTTAATTCCACAGTCCCTGCCAAGGGACCACATTTCCCTGCCACGAGGAAGGATGGGGAAGCTAGCCAAGTGTCAGTGCTGGGCATCCGCCAGGAGAGAAGGCTCTGGGTATGGAAAGAGAGTCAAAGTGTCTGTTACCAGCACTCCGGGGTGGCTAGAATAGCAGGGTGCCCTTGCTAGGAAAAATACACTACATTCATGACTTAAAGGAAGGGAAGTGTCTCAGCTACTTTTTTCTCATTGCTGGGACGAAATACCTGACACCCAACATTAACAAAGGAAAAGTTTATTTAGCTCACAGTTGTGAAGGTTTCAGTCCATACTCAACCGGCTCCAAGGCAGAGCGGCACGTGGCAGAAGGCAAACAGCAGTGCAGCAAGAGCAAAATGGCAGGGGCAGCGGCAGCAGTGGCAGCAGGGAGCACGTCTGTCTCCCTTATGCTGCCTTCCAGCTATCTGCCCCAGGCCGGGGGCAGCACTCACACCCATAAACCCAGCAGTGGATCACAAATTAATCACAGACTCTAGAAGCCTGCTCCCATGACTTCATGAGGCTTTGGGGGGACAACGAGACACAAACCGTAACATTCCACCCCTGGGCCCCCCAAAGACTCATGTACATCCCTTTGTGAAAAAGACATTTTAGTCCATCTCTAAGAGTTTCCTAAGTCCTAACAGTTTCAGCATTGCTGAAAAGTTCAAGTTCCAAATCTTAGCTGTGAGCCCCTACACAAATGAAAAGTTAAGCACTTCCAACATTCAATGGAATAAGAAAGACATTACCATTCCAAAAGGTACAAGCAACAAGATTGGGACCAAAGCAAGTCCAAACTCCAGAAGGGCAAACACTAAATCCTATAGCTCCACATGGAACTTCCAAAACAATCTGGCAAATTGTGAGCTCCATGTGGCTCTGCCCCTGTGGCACTCCTGGTGGTAGCTCCCACGGCTTCTCTCTTAGACCAGCTTTGCTCCCTCTTGCAGTTTCCCTTAGATGATCCATGGTCCTAGCTTTTCCAAACTTCTGGGGTCTCCGCTGCACATGAAGCTTCTCACTCTCTGCTTCACACACTGCCCTCTCAGGGGCACACCGCCTGACCCCCCAGGCCTTTGAAGTCAAGATCAAAGCCTTCTTAACTTCAGAACTCTTGCATCCTGCAAGCAAAACCAGCACCACGTGCATGATGCCAAGGGTGGAGCAGTAGCCACATTTCCTTTTCTCTTGGCTGTAGGGGTCGAGGGCCTGGACTGCTGAGCACACCGACCTGGATTCTAAGGAACAAGTTCTCCATGTCGTTAACATTCTGGAGCCCGGTGTGGCTGCCACCACTGCCATTGGTAGCATGGCCCTCTGTGGCT